TTAGGGAAAATTACACTTTGCCTACCGAACTATCCGCGTTTTTACACTTTGCCCACTCAACTTTTTCCGGTGACACTTTACCCCTTGAACTTCACATATTCTTGCACTTAACGACTTCCGGCACCGGAGATGCAAAATCAAGGGAAAAATCGTCATTTACACCTTAGGAGACACCTAAAATTAGTCTTCACGAGTACACTTTGCCTACTGAACTATTCGCGTTTTTACACTTTGCCCTTGATTTTGCATCTCCGGTGGTCGGAAGTCGTTAAGTGCAAGAAAATGTGAAGTTCAAGGGGTAAAATGTCACCGGAAAAAGTTGAGTGGGCAAAGTGTAAAAACGCGGATAGTTCGGTAGACAAAGTGTAATTTTCCCTATTAATTAATATCTTTTATCCGTGCATCGCACGGGATTCGTACTAATTTTCTCAAACGTAAAATAGATAAATAGATAATGGGCTTTTCACATGAAACCCATAGTTGTCATCTTCGCAGTTTCGCCCAATAAAAACTGAACAGTACTTCCTGATACGCTGGCCCATTTGAATCCTCCTCACTGCTCGTCGCCTTATTTGGTCCATCGGTCTGTGACCCGTTTGTCCTTTTCTCACCCACTCGTCTAATCCTTCAATTTAGGGTTCTCCTTTGTTTTCAAACATCTCGATTCCCAAATCAAAACATCTCACCTTTCTCCCATCTCCGGCCATCATCATTCCCAAATCACCTCTGTCAATAACAACCAAAAACCCTAAAAAAATCAAACAAACACAAACCGATTGCTAGCAATGATCCGAGCAGGAACTGTAATAATCCGATCTGATTTAGACAAGAAGAGGCCGAGGGAATGGGATGTCGAAGCAGGTGACGACGAAGATAATGACGAACGGCGTTCGTGTGAAGGTGGTGACGACGATAGCGGTGATGGGCTTTTGTATGAAGGTGATTCCGACTCTGACACAGATGACGATTTCACTACGAAGCATAAGGTTGTTGAAAGAGCTGTCTGGGACACCGCAAAATCTCCTATGGTCCAAGAAGAAGATGGTGAAAGGAATTGCCTCGGTGTAAGTCCGTGCCACAAAGACAGTCACAAAGCGAAGTTCAGGGGATTAGTCATTTTCGAACTGTACAAAGTCATAGTCAAATTGAACGACAAAATCCGCAGCACCCCCTTGGTCAACAGCCGAACATACGGGGAAATCACGCAACCGGCATCCGAGTATTGGGATTACAATCCGGTACCGATAAATTATTACAGGGCGAGCCACAAGAAAGCTGATACTATTGATCTTGACCCATATGCCCTACTTCCCCTGTCTGGTGCTGAACCCAGACCCCCAATGTGTGAAGAAACTGGAGCATATATGTATTTTGCTTTCAAGATCAATGATGAGGATATACTGGTTGCTGGTGAAGATGATGATCATGTGAATCTCGACCTATTTCCAGGTGATGGTGTATCTAAGTACTGCGATTTAAATGTTTCTGCATCCGATGAAAGATACTTGGACGAGTATGGTCCCTGTATCCGGAGGTCTGTGGTTGGAAAACCCAGCACCAGTCCTATACTAATGATGGCCTACAGTTCCAAGTATCGTGGAACATGGGCTACTATTGATGTTAAGCTGTTGAATGAAGGGTTTAAGGCTGTTTCTGGTTTGATTGCTGCTAGGCCTTGCATATTTTACTCGAGGATTCGTTTGCTTTCACTTAAACGAAGGGATGAGGATAAGACGGTGATGATTCAGAGAAGTGAGGATGGTTGGGTGGGGAATGATGGAAGTATTAAGCTTACAAGGTCGTTGGTGGCTGTTCCTTCCATTTCCTCGCTGATTATTGGGGCCGTGTTGTATGACCGTGAGAACGGTGAGAACCTTATTTGCAGTGGCAAGACCTTTTTCCCAGCTATGGAAATGGGGGAGGAAACCAAGATCATTTCCTATAATGGCGCACCCACACTTAAAGTTACTGCCCGCTGGAAATGCAGTGAAACAGTCTAATGGACTTGATCGACAGAGACCCCTTAACGGTTTTTCCCTACTCTGTTTGCTTTGTTTTGTGTATTCAGCTCTATTGTTGTGTAGCTGAGTGTTTGGGTTTGTTTACCTTATGTGGCACATGACTTTTGTGTTTGGATTTGTTTACCTTATTGTTATTGTTGCTTCTACCATTGGTTCTCTTGGGTATCATCTCTAGCCTACCCCAACTTGCTTGGGACTAAAAGGCTATCTTGTTATTGTTGTTGTTGACTGTTATTGTTGCTTCTACATTGAGTTAATGTTTCTACTTGTTTTATTTGTTTTGAAATTGCCCTCCAATAGTAAAGATATGGAGTTGCCAACTTCTATGGTGTGTATGCCTATGTTGCATGTTCAGGCTCTCAGGGTCACCCGTCTCTCAGTCCCTGCTGTCAAGCGGCTATCGGGGGATACAGGTACCGTGTATCTGGCTGAGTTGATTAGCACAAACTGCGTTTTTGCTATTAAGGTTATCTATATATATATAATTGCTAGCTAAGCAATAAATTTTACTTAATAAATAAAACCTAATAAATTTTACCTATGTGGCAAATCATTAATAAAACCTAATAAAGAAAACCTAATAAATTTTATTTATGTGGCATTAATACACCTAATCTCATTAATAAGAAAATATTTCATTACATTTTTTGGGTTAATTAAGACAAAAACTATTATATTTTATGTTAATTGATTAATAATTATATTTTTTATTGAATAATATAATAGTTAATATTAAAATTAGTAATTATATTTTATACTAAATAATATATGAAAGTTACATAAAATTATATTTTACACTAAAATTAATATTTTTTTATATGATGAAGCGGTTGTTTATTAATACTTTAATTTTTTTTATGTCATAGTAAAATTTCTTAAAATCACATAAGCAATTGTTATAATAAATGTAATATTTTTCAGCTAATTAATTGGTCATGATCACTCAAAATTATAAAAAGTATATATTTATTACATTCTATGCAATCAATATAGTGATTTGTATACAATCAAATCGTGTGTACTATTTATTTTAACCAATGATCAAATTTTAAAATATAATACTATTATATAATTTATAATTTTAATATTATATACATAAATATAATTTATAATATTATATGTTTGAAATATAATACAATTATATAACTTATAATTTTTATATTATATACATAAATATAACTTATAATATTTAATTTTATTTACATCTGTGCAAATGCACAGAATCGAATACTAGTAGATAATAAATTGTGAGCGAAAAGGAAAAAGACGGGGAGAGGGAGATTCTTAGAATGCTGGGTTGTTGGAGAAGGGGACGAGGTTGGTGGATTGTGATGGTAATGGCGAGCATTTGGAATTCGAGTTGTTATGAGGGGTTAAGAAGCTTTTTGCAACAGAATTATAAAAGCAAAGTATTTCTCGTGCTATAAGCTCATAGTATGAACTTCTTTTCAGGCTCCGGTGGGTTCATTACCGGCTCGGGTTTAGTGTCGGGTTTTAGATAAATTCTTGCAACAATTTTAGGTGATATTATGAGTATGTGAATGCCTCAGAATTTTTTTAGTTTGTAAAGGTCGTTAAAAATTGGTGATTATGCTAATAGGTAGGTCTAACATTTGTGATTTAGCTGCAAAAAATTATGCAATTTTGCCTATATAAAAGTTTCACCTTTGCCTGAAAAAATCCTCATCCTCGTCCGTCAAGATGGCCACATCATGCTCACGGATTTTGACCTCTCCCTACGGTGCTCGTTCAACCCATTTCTCCTCATCAGGTCATCCGGTCTTAGTGTTGGGATTTAGATTAATTCCAACAATCTTGCAGTTTTTCTGACCTAATTGAAGTACTGAAGTTGTTAGGGGGGAAAATAGTAATGATAAAATCAATACATCACGAACTCACCTTTTATTTCTGACCAAATTCGTACTTACTTCGCAAACTCTTCTTTTGTTTATTCTTTCTTCCTCTTTTTTTTTTTAGAGGTCAAACGAGTCAACACAACAACGTGAATATAATCAAATCAATACATCACGATGTGTAATAATGAGAATAGAATACGAACACGAACTTTTAGCCTTTTACACATGAACTTCAAAGAAGGCAAGTTCAAAGTATTGACCAATCGAGAATTACAAAGGACAAAACAAGGCCGTGACTTTAAATTATGTGTGCTACATCAATAAATCTTCAATCGACTTACAATAATGGGGGTTCAACTCATTGAAAGGCAGAAAGTAAGACAATTCAAAATGAAATAAACACTTTTATCCAAATAAAAAGTTAGCAATATCGACTAAGCATTAGACTTCATGCGGGAGAATCGACTCAAACACACAAAATTGGTCCATTAAACACAAAACAAAGGAAAAGCAAAAGTAAATAAACCTAAGACCAATCTACCACATAAGCATGCAACTTTTCTAAATACCTCCCCCACACTTAAAATAACCTCATTGCGTACCCGAAACAAGTGAAAGAAGAAGATAAGAAACGAGCATAACTGTGAAATAGAATCAAGCCAAGAGCACAACACGACAAAGATCACATAAGTAAGAGAAATAAGAAAACAAACAAACTAAGAGAAGGTAAGAAAATACAAACTCGGTTTGTCGCACATCTCGGATACGAATAGAATGACAAATTAACTCGCCAAAAATGGCCTCGACCATCAACGAATATGAGAATGACAAAACAGATTACCACCTCGCGACTCGAGTCTCCAAGAAATATTAGGAATTACAAAACGGATCCACACATCAAGACCGCAACCTCCAAAAGAATATAGCAATACAAATCGAAGATCACGCCCAAGTCGAGTAACCCCAAGATATATGATTGTCAATATAAGCCTGGAAACGCCGTCAAACGCCACAAGATATAGTATTTCAAAACAAGTCGCCAACGCTCTCCTGATTTTTTGACATAATCAATGAAACACAACCCTTTTTTAATCAATATGAATTTGTTGGCATATGAATTGGTGAGCATGGGTCAAGAACATGAAATCCCGCAGTAAAACGAATTAGCGACTAAGTGATATCGAAAGGCTGGGCTCACAGACCAGCCCCGTCGGACGAGGCGCCCAACTTTGCTTCATCATTCAACGATAGATGACCTGAACCCGAAGACCGACATGCAAGAAGGACAACAAGTAGGAGCAGAGTCCGAGCTCACAACCACGAAGAAAGCCCGAGCTCGAGGCAAAAGGAGTGGAAGCCAAATTCAAGTCACGACGTAAGTCCGATCTCGAAGATATCGGAGGACGGGCCCCACGACGCACTCAATCTCAAAAAAATAATAAAATAAGAGCACTTGCAGCCTAATGATGGTCGATGGGATGTGCCCACCAACCCTGTAGGCCTACGATCCGTAGATCCCTAGGGTGGCATGTCCGCGTTAAGGGACCATCAATTAGCATTAAATGGCTAAAAATCATCATTTAGAGTCAACCACGCCCCATCAAATGCTCGTCATTCCGGTTTACTGTGTAGTATAGCTCGGGATCAGTAAAAGAGTGGTAACCAAGAATGTTAGCTATAAATAATCCTAAGTTTCATTTATGTCAAGCAGGTTAAGAGAGGGCAAAAAACACCAAACAATGTACAGAAATAAACAATCATTCGCCAAAAGTCAGGCAACACATCCCAAAGATCCGACCTAGAGTCATTCAAAGATCGACCTCGATTCACATCTAAAGCTATTTATTTTCCTCATCAGCCTTCTCTTATTTCACGATTATCTTCTCAATCACGCAGTTGATTCTTGATTAACCATTGATACAAACCACATATCAACAGTTTGGCGCTAGAGGAAGGGCTTCATAATTTGTTTGGAGTCAATTTTTGAACTTGTTAACACACACCGAAAAACCTGTTTTCATTTTCCGGCGAAATTATGTGATGGAAACATCCCTATCGAAAAGCCAAGAAGGAAACTCCCAGACACTAGTTGTTGCACAACCGGTCGCGATGGCTCCCGCCGTAGACTTTAAGACAATGTTCCAAAACCCGGATTCATGAAGGGGTCGGCGAACCTCCTACCGCAAATCGTGTCGTCACCATCACACACACCACCCTTATCGACTGGGGACCTGCTCAAAACACCAACGAAGAAGAACACAAACCCCACTGGAAACAAAGGAAAAGGCCATAATTGTCGTCCGTGATGACACATCAAAAGAACGGAGAGAGAAGGATGTGGATCCTACGCGAATAGAACAAACCAGCGAAAGTCGATCCGCCTTGCGACACAAGAAAGACTCCTCAAATCCGTCCGTCTTCAGCCGTCTCGAGGAAAAGGGAGTCGAACGAGACCTCTGGCAAAAAATACAAGAGGATCGATTCACCAAACGCGAGGCAGACAAAGTCGTGTTTCTCAAAATGAGGGTAGCTGAACTTGAAACCCAACAACGGGCGCGGCGGGGGCGTCGCCACCACACCTGCTGTTCCCCGACAGTTGGGTAATTGACCTGGTGTCACTGCTGTCGCCCGACACCCTGTACAGCCCGCTGTCAGACAAAATCAAGATACCCCAGATCGGACTCTATGGCGGACGCTCGGATCCAAATGCACACATCGGCTTGTACGTACCGTGGATAGACCTACACGGGGCCAGAGACAACCTCAGATGCCACATGTTCTTTCTCACCCTGGGGGCCAGGGTGCAAATGTGGTACCACTCCCTATACTTTGACTCGATTACGACCTGAGGTCGACCTTTCAATCGCACTTCATCGGCTCCCAAGTATGCATGATTCCAAAAGAGTCCATCACCAACGTTGTTCCGGGAGCTGAAGAAAGTCTGAAGAACTATATTGGTCGGTTTAACGACCGAGTTCAAAACATGGAACCTTGTCACTCTTAAATGTTGTTGATATCAGCTCAGGCCCACCTTAGGCCAAACTCTATGTTTAGGTGGTTGTTATGTCAGAAAAAGCCAACCACCTACTAGGACTTTTTGGCTAGAGCCCAACAACACATCATGGCGGAGGAGTCAATGTTCGTGCCAACTTTCGAGACACCAGGACATTGACCCCGAAGGACAAAGAACTCAAACCACTGAAAGAGAAGGCCCTAATACATGCCATGAGGCGAAGGCGCGAACAACTAAAGGAGAACTACGACGGCTTCTACTCGGTCGGCGCCGCAGCAGTTTACGAAAAGATCAAGCTAAGGGGATGCTGCCCGACCCCAAGCCCATGTTTTCTGAAGAATCTTAGAGGGTCAAGTCTTACCTCAAAGCGCACGGTCACAACACCGATCAATGCCACAATCTGATCTTAGCCTTGCTGAAACTGATCGAGGACTCGCGCGTAAAGAAGCTCATCAAGGAAGGTGAAGGAAGGAAGAGGGGTCGACTAGAAGAAGACCCCAGAAGCGATGATGATGACACCGATTGGCATCATCAAAGGCAAAGGGGTCAGCAGGAGATCTTGACCTTCCACCCTACCAACCAAGAGGAAGTTAGTTCGTCCCAAGGACCGAAGCGAACGCGCTAGCCGCCAGACCGAGAAAGACGAGCGACTAGCCGACCCTGCTAGCATCGAGAAGGCAGACTAAGGCGTATGCTCGACGAGCCTATAGCACCAAGCGAATGGCACAAATCGCGGCACAAAGAGGTAAGCTATTCTTTTGAAGCTTTGTTGCGTACGTTTAAAATATGTCTTTTGCGTTTTGATCGTATCGTTAATTTTATTCTCTTTTATATAATCACATCACATGTAAAGATGGTAAAATGTTTATACTATTTAAGAAATAATTTTAACTTATATGTACAACAATCATTTCCAAAATCAAGGTCAAACCAATTATATGAGATAGATACTAATAACCATATATATATATATATATATATATATGTATATATATTAATCAAAATCATGAACCTATGAGATCATACAAAATTTATCAGTGGTAGTGATCCGTGAATAATTGAAAATATAGGCTTGTATTACTTACCCATATATGGATTATTAATTAATATTGTCAGTTAAATTGGAGTCGGCTGAGCTTCCTCGGTCGTTGATTGTCTTCAATTGGAGGTTAGTGGCCCTGTTCTTCTTCTTCTTGCTGGTTTGTCGGTGGTCTCCCGGGTTGGTCTCGTTCATTGGCGGGGCTTCCGGTGGGTTCGGCTTGTGGTCGTCGGCGACTTGCAGTAGAGGTGGGAGGTGTGAGAGCCGGGGTTTAGGGCGGGACCCTTGTTGCTGTGACTGTTCCGGCGGGTGCGGCGGCAGGGGAGAGGGCTGTTTCCGCTAGCTCAATCCCCGTTCGCCTAGTGGTGTTAGGCGGCGGGGAGGTTTCTTTTGACCTCGTCTAGTGGTGTTAGAAGAGTTCGGAGGGAATCAGAGTGGGGTGAATTATGGCTCTCTCGGTCTTCGATGGGTCTATTCGGGGCTGGTTCGGAGTTAGGGTTCTGCTACTGTATAGGCTTGATTGCAGTTTCGGTAGTAGGCTCCGGGCTTGGATTGGTCTTGTGTAGATCGTTCTCTGCTGGTTCGGGCTAGTTCGTTCGCTGGGGAAGGGTTGTTAGATTTATTTTTGCTTTTGTGTGTTTTATTTCTAGTGTTCTTGTTATGTGTCTGTATCTGTATTGTGTGTGTCTTGTGTTTTAGGTTTGGGCCGTTTGGTCCCTGTGAGCCCGAGTGTCAAACTAATTACTCCGTGGGGGTCCGACACTCGGGTATTACTCCGTTGGGGGTCTTGTTTCGTTTAGTTGGTGTAGTAGGTTTAGTTGGTTGTGTTTTTTGTTGTTTTAGTGCTTGTTGCCCGAGTATTACCCCGTTGGGGTCGGCTCTAGGCGATCTCTAGATCTGCCTCCCAGTTTTCTAGTCTTTGGTTGTATTATTCAGCCTTTGGCTGCTTTTCTTCGCACTTTGTGCGGTTTAATATAGTTCCTCTATCGTTTTGGCAAAAAAAATAAAAATAAAAATAAAAAATTGGTGAGATTTAAAAATAAGGATACTACTATTTTATGTAAGTTAAAAAATATCATGCCCGAATATGTCAATCTATTACCAAATAAAGATTAATCATGAATCTACGAAGATACATGTTTTCTTGATTCTACAAATATATCGTGCATGAATATGCCAAAAATATTCAATACATTTATTTATATGTGACTATATAAAGACTTATCAAATGAATATAAAATGACTTAATAGAAAATATTTTTAAAATGTATCCGAAAATATATAGGTGGGAAAAAGTTCGTCAATTTTGGCAAAATGAATCGGTCCATTATATATACTAGTGTTGCAACCCGTGCGATGCACGAGACATAGTATAGAAAATATTTCATTATCAAATATTAAAATAATATACCAATTCTATTCGACACAACATATCAAGTCTGTAATAATATAATATTTATTTAAATATTTTCATTTTTATTTTTCCAATTATTTTTGCAGGTATGAATTTTATTAGTTATTAGTTTATAAAATACTATAAAAGTGTAATATTTAAGATATAATGATTGTTTACAAATTGCTTGCATGTACTTATATAGTTATCGATTATATTAATCTTATAGCGTTTTTAGCAATCCATATTTTGCATATTGCTCGATAACGGACCACCGTTTAATCCATAAAATTAGTTTTTCTCTATAATAACTCTAATTTTATGAAATACTTACTTATGATAATCCTTGTGAAACACAAATTTTCATGGTAAATATTTTATTTTGAATTTTAATTTTTTTTATATATATATTTATTTAATTCATGTTTTTACAACATATATAATAGTTTAACTAATAAATAATTTAAGCATTTTGATATATGATATATTTCAACGACTACCATATGCTATAAAAGATAATCTATTAATATATAATTTAAATTTTAAGTAGTATTATCAATACAAAAGGTATATTCAAGAGAGTTTTAGTTTATTCACGGTTAAGTTGAATACATTTGATAAAAAATTATCAATATTTTAAATTATTCATTATGCTAATATAATTCAAACATAATTATTTTAATTATTTTATTATATATTTTAAGTGATTTTGATTGATGAACATAATTCATATCTACAACCATGAAATAATAATTAAATTAATGGAATTAATTTTTATAATTATAATTAATATATATTTTTTTCTTAAATTATATCAATAAAATTACTATGAAATTGGTATTATGGTCGTATTCAAAATACTTTTACTCAATCAATTATTCTACTTAAGTCAAATTGTATTTAATGTGTATTAGCCATTGCGTAAAGAAAAAGATAACTATATTTTCATATGTAAAATATGCTAATAAATAAAGCTTAATTATATGAAAAATATAAACAAAATTTTTTTCATGCACAAAACTATGTCAGTGATGGTAATATATATAAGTACATTATACAGATATAGATATCGATTTTTATCAATCTATATATCATTTAGTGATTACCAAATGCCACTTATGTTACTTGAGTGTAATTTTTATTTATTCTATTTATTAAAAATATATAGTTAGAAATTTATATTTCTCACAATTAAATAACTTTTAATATATATATATATATATGTGTGTGTGTGTTTATATTTTAATGTGGTTTTTTTTTTTTAAAAGATCATCAAACAATCAAAACAAAATTTGTACTAAAACAAAACATTAATAACTTGTACTAAATCTTCTCAAATTTCTTAAGGAACTAATCAATTTTAGTTTTATTTTATAAACTAATGCCTAATAGTAATTGCCAAAATTGGCCAAAATATTTGGGTGGGAAAATTTGTGACAAATATAGTAAAATGGATTGGTCTATTATATAGATATAGATATAGATATAGATATAAATATAGATATAGATGGGCTTTAAACGAGCTCAAGTCAAGCTCATCTGCGTAGTGTAACAACCTTTGTAGCAAAACTGAAACTTAGGCAAAATTGCATTAAATTTTGCAGCTTAGTCACAAATTTTAGACCTACCTAAATTTAGTAGCAAAACTGAAACTATAAATACCCTGTTGAGGCATTCATGTGCTCATAATATCACCTAGTCTTTTATACATGATTCTGGCGATCATACAAAATCAGACAAGCCATGAATATCATTCCACAAAAATCATGGCATTCCACAAATATCATGGCATTCCCTTGGGGCAATTATTTTACCATTACTATTGTTTTCCCTAACAACCTCAGTACTTCAATTAGGTCAGAAAAGTTGCAAGATTGTTGCAAGAATTGATCTAAAATGAACCCGCTGGAGCATGAAACGATGTTCATACAGCTGTGAGTTTAAAGCACGAGAATACATGGCTTTCGTGGTCGTTTCCACCACAATCCACGAACCTCTCCCCCTTTTCCGACACCTCGGCACGACAAAACTCCGGCACCTGAGGCGGGACCCCACACCGGATCAGGGCCCAGTTCAGCCCCTCAAAAAAAGGGTGCTTCTTAGTCTCAGCAGCCCCAGCCCCAGCCCCAGCCCCAGCCCCAGTTATTGGGCTCCTTCACCAGAAGCCCGCGGATCAAATCTCGTGCCTAAAAGCTCACCATGGGGCTTTCCAGGAACCTCAGGCTCTTCAAGACCACGTTTGCCAGAGTATTCTCATTGCACGACCCCTTGTACGGTGTCCTTCCGTACAGAAGCTCGTACAGGAGAACCCCAAACGTCCCCTCGCCCTTGATCAGAACATAATATAAACTTGATGGCCATTTACTACTCGCTAAGAACAACACTCACCCTATAATCATAGATATGCTCCACGACTGAAAATCACATAACAAATCCTTGTACTCACAATTTTAATTTCCTAATACTCAGGCATAATTTCATCATGCTAGATCATCTCATGCTAGTTGGCGTATAAACGTAAATAAGGGACAAAATCTAGTAAAGTTCAATCAGTCCACCACGAAACATAAAGCATAAAGTTCAGAAGTAATCCTCGTTATGTACCAACCATACCTTGCCGCCTGTTCATGAAAATATCTCCCCGGCTGCTTCTGCCTGAGGGCATGGACAGAACTCCATAACCAAGCATGATAAATTGTCTGAAGTAAACTGCACATGATCTCCATCTCGGTCTGGGCCCTCCCTATCTTTATCCTTTTCCCTAAGAATACACTATCCATAACTTTAATAGCGAAAACGCAGTTTGTGCTAATCAGCTCAGCCAGATTCACGGTGCCTATATCCCTCAATAGCCGCTTGACGGCGGCCATCTCAGCTGCCTGGGAAATGCACATTCCCCTCAGGGCGGGGGAGGAGGACCCAATCCCCGGGGACTGAGAGCCTGAACATGCAACATAGGTATATACACCACAGAAGTTGGCAACTCCACATCTTTTGTTGGAAGGCAATCTCAAAACAAAATAAAATAAATAGAAACATCAACTAAATGTAGAAACTACAATAACAATAAGGTAAACAAATCCAAACACAAAAGTCATGCCCCACACAACACCTTCCACGTTCAATACACAACAATGGAGCTACATACACAAAACAAAGCGAACAAAAGTAGGGAAAAAACGTTAAGTAGTCTCCATCGATCAAGTCCACAACCAAGTAGAGAAAGTCATCACGATTATTTGTCTTGATGCTTTGTGTCACTCTTGATCTTGGTGCTCCGGGTTGGGTAGTGGCTGAAAGATTAAAGAATAATAATAAGAACAATAAAAAGGGAAAACAAGAGAAAGAAAGAAACACTAAAGAATGAAAGGTTATTACCGTTATCAGTAATATGTTTGCATTTCTTATTGTGCAATACAAAGCTGAAACTTGGTATTCATTCTCAATGGTGCTCTGGTACTCCACAATTTTAGACTCCTTGATGATCGACAATGATTCTAATACTCCTCTATCCATTTGAATATTGTTTAACCTCTCGACAATTGAGTGACCTATTATATTCCTCGACATCTTAAAAAAATCATTTTCGCTTAGTGCTAACTCTCTATTCAATTGACCCCCGCTCTCGAATATCGCAACAAGAGCCTCACGAATAGCAGGTATTCTAGCAGCTTCTGGTATCATTTGACATATGACTAGAGTCCAGGACATCATTTGTTTACACGGTGGCATATTATCCTTGTCCAAACGACATTGATCAAGGCCTGTCTGCCAAGATTTACTTTATCTCGACTTACTCTTTTCTCCATGTTGCGATACTCAACAGACATGCCATCAATATTTTCCATTCCCAGATTCTCCCAATTTCGGCATTGGAAATTGTCGTTGTCGTACCAATCATCCATGGCATACCAATGAGGCCCATTTGTGGGGCGAAATGCGAACAAGTAAAGGCTACTGCGAAGGAAACGGCATCCGAGTCTGTGGGCACCGGCAGACAAATAAATGTCGAAGTAAGCCTTCTTCCCTGGGAGGTCTCTTCTCTGAAAACACTTCTTTCCTCGAGAAGTGACAAACCTGGGAGTGAGGATACCATGTCCGTCATTTCCCGGTAAGCTGAATTTTTTTATGAACGAGTTGTAGACCTCCGGCGTAGCGTTCTGCACGTCCAATGAGATGTCAGGCAGTCCAGGGCGTGCGTTCACTACGTCAAACTGAATTTTGGAAGGGGTAGATGCGGGAGAACGACTTGAATTTCCTCTTTTTTTCGGCCCCATGATGAACCGATCGATTCGTACTTCTACAGTCGTGAACCGGCTCGATCCGTACACCGGCGTCTGGAAAGCGATAGGGTTGACGGCAGGGAGTAGGGAAGGAAGATAAGGATAAAAAAAGAATGGGCTTATATTTGTTTGAGTTTTCAAATTAGGCTCGTTGGCTTGATGTATTGGGTTTATTGGTAGGACTCTTGGGCTTTTCTGTTTTCTTTGGATTCATCATTATATTTATTTATGTATTGGGTTTAGAGAAATTACCCCACTTATCATTCACATTATTTTTATTTACATGTACTAGTGTGTGGCCCGTGCGATGCACAGAAAAACAATATTTTGATTGTATTATAAATTAAATAAATAAATAACATTAATTATGATTTACCTATTATTTTTAAATTAAATCGGGTTGGACACAGTCCGACCGCATGGACCGAGAACCGGTTTATAACCAGTCTAGTGCGCTTGAATAAAGTATTTGCTATCGAATCCGTCAACACCAGTCTGTTGGACTGATAGGATCGATAGGATTTTCTAAACAAATTTTGTTACATTAAAAATTATTTTAAATAAAATTCCATATTTAAATAAAATAGAGATTTATAAATTGTTCATCAATTAGTTTAAACATTTGAATTTATAAATTGTTTAGATATTTAAGTAACAATTTTTATTTAAATTTACTGCAAAAAGTACTTTATATATATACACTAAAGTATAATGTATTAAAATCTGAACAACCACAAATGATTTAATAAAATAACTTGATCGTTTCGATGACTGTCCGGTTCTGAAAACCTTATATTTACCGTACATAAATATAAATTATAATAAAATAATTATTTTGTTCACATAAATAATAATAATAAAATGATATATAAATATTCATAAATCATTAATGATGTTGTCATAAAAGTATTGTTAATATGATTATTTGAAGTTTGGACTACATCACATTCACGTAATAAAGTATTTTTAATATTAAAATTTATATTTAGGTTCAATAATCGATTTGGTCTGGTCAAACTGATACATAACTTAGTTACCTGGGACCAACCAAGATGTGTCAAGTTTTTTTACTATTTTAAATATCACTTAAAAGTAATTCAATCAACGTGGGCAGTACCCTAATTCAATCACCCGATTGATCTAAAGTAATTTTCTTATTTTCTTTAAATATAATTTTTAATTTTATTTTATGATTCACATGTCTACACCAAATGATAGTATATTAAGATTATAAATTATATATCTAAAGATGAATTATTTATTTTTATTTTATGCATATTAATAAAAAATAAACATAGTAATTTCTTAAAAAAAATCAAGATTAATTGATTGGGTATGCAATTTAAAAAATATTTTTAGCGTTCAATATATATATATATATATATATATTTTAACATGATTGAATTTTTGGATTAGAATATATATATTTAAAATGATTTTATTATTAAAAGTCAAAAAGAAAAGATGTCATAAAGATTACAACTTTAAAAAGTTTGTAACCATTAATTTAGGAACCATCCGATTTTAAATGATTTATAATTTTTGAAACATGATACGTACATTTAAAACCCATTAATTTAGGAACCATCTAATTTTTGATAATAAATTAAAATTTAAATTTAAATCAAAAAATTGCTGAATATAGTATATAATAAATGTGGGTTGACTTTTCCTTACTACTATTTATGGTAAATGTTATTTCTTATTATATATATATATATAGATATTGATATGAATTTACATGTTTATTTTCAATTTAACTAACATTCTTTTAAAATATACAAATTCTAATAAGAGGCGATAAGCAATGTTCTGAAAATCGGACAGAACCGGCTGGTTCGATCGGTTCAACCGGGAACCGGCCAATACACAGCCCGTCTTGAAGTATGGAACTGCTAGGGCAAGAAACCGGTTAAGAACCGTTTCAACCGGTTAAAATCGGTACAACGGTTAGTTCGGTCCTTGGCGGGTCGGACCTAAAAAATGTTAAAATGGTCAGGCTCTTGGTAAGATAAGTACATTCGGAGGACAATGTTAAATATGATAGAACTCCGAGCCCTCGGTTCGGAGGCTTATGTTCAAGATAGGTGGAACCCTAAGTCATTCCGGTAATTACCTTAGCGGAAAAGAAGACGCATAACTCCAAGTAGTTAGCTTGGAGGCTTTGAATAAAAGAATAAGACGGTCGAGCAGGCCGCTCAAAACACAAAGAAAGGCACAATTTTAGGTCACCAAAAGGCCCGACATAAGGCAAAGTTCGAGATCAATTAAGGAAAGTGAGACATAATCACAAGTATAAGCGACTCATAAGACAACTAGGATCAAGTAACCATAGTTTAGGGAAAGCTCGCACAAGTTAACAAGTTTGACGGGGTGCCAGGATTTCAGTATTGGCAGATTAACAGTGCAGGATTTTGGCCCAGCCTCATGCTTTTTCACTCGTACAGTGTTTCTGGATTTGGATTCTACTGGTGGATATTCTTTCTTTCGTTGGTTTCTTTACAAGGAGGGCTTTGTTTCACGACTGTTTGACCGCACGTGAAGTAGTTCGAGTTGACTTCAGATTTCTATTGTTTATACTCTGAAACTTCAATTTCTGTTTTACCTTACGTACTGCCTTGTTAACAACTTTCCTCGGGTCATTTACCTTATTCAGGACAAAAATCTTGTTATCTTGCTTTAACAAATTATTACTAGAAGCATGTTCAGTAGTATCATTGACAACATTCGGAGTTTTCTTCTCCATATTCACTACAATTGCAGGCAAAGACATGAACTCTGATTAAGCTCTTGAAAATCCTTAGCATTTTCTCCTTCCACACGAGACACACATTCAAGACTCTTACTTCCTAGTTTAGAACCATAGCCAGCGTCGCCCGCTTAAAATTATGAATCTTAATTGGTCATAACTAAACTTCTGGAAGAACTCGGAGCACTCTAAGCTCTGGGCCCACACCATAGAAGTTGGCAACTCTCTTTACTGTTGGAGGGCAATCTCAAAACAAAATAATATAAATAGAAACATTAACTGAATGTAGAAGAAACAATAACAATAAGGTCAACAAATCCAAACACAAAAGTCATGCGCCACATAACTGTGTATCAGTCAACCCAGGTTTTAAGGGGGTGATTGTTTATAAATTCAACTAGATTTTAATTGGTTTTTTTTTAACTATAGTTAATTTTAAAAAAATGTGGTATAGTTAGTTGTTAGTGAATATTAGGGATGAAAACGATCGGGAACGATCGGCATAGGGATCAACCATTTCCACTTTCATATTTTTTTCTCGAAAACGAAAATGATACGATAATGTTGGAAACGAAAACGACATCGGTATTCCGGTAATATCGAAAACGAAACTATCCGATCGAAAATACATCGGTAACGATCGAAATATATTAAAACGGTATTTAAAAAACGATAAACACACCACATTATAAAATATAGCATTAAAACATAAATTGAAATATTCTCACGGCATAATAGTGGCAAAATCCAAATTAAAATCCACACCATTTGCTATAACAAAATCCATACAAATTCCAATAACTAGCAATTGAATTGTGACTTGTCCATCAAATTCTCATGGAATAATAGTAGCAATTGAAATTTGAAACATGAAATGGGAGCAATTAGGTGAGAAATCAACCATGGAACCACCAAATCCACAAAAAACCATAACAAACGAAATCCAGAATTCAAAACACAAATCACTAAAACAATGATGGGAGTTAAACATAATATATAAACTTGTCCTTCACAGCAGTTGTCGTATGCCTACAACTGAATCTCAGGCAAATCATCATTATCAATCTGCAGTCGTCGCTGGAGCCTGTAGCGGGTGGTGCGGTTGCGACGTTGATGGGAGTGGGGCGCGGCGAATACGAGCAGGTGACGGGAGTGACGACAAGCAGGCGCGGCGAATTGCGATGGCCGTCGGCCGATGGAAGCGATGACAGGGTTGGGCTGAAGGGGATTTCAGGATTTCGAGAGTGAAGACCGAAAGGGGTGAAGGGGATTTCAGGATTTGGGCACAGGGTTGGGCTGAAGGGGATTTGGGCATTTGGCCCATTTGGGATTTGGATTGAGCTTTATAATTAAAAGTGAGCCTAGTATGAGTTGGGCTGGTATTACCGACGGTAAAATACCGTTTAAATACGGTAATTTTCGAAAACGATCGGAAAAGGGCTAAACCGTTTTCGTTTTCATTTTCGAATTTTTTTACCGTTTTCATTTCCGTTTTTCCGGTTACCGTTACCGTTTCCGTTTAGCCTCCAAATCCGAAAAAATTTCGAAAACGATTCTCGGTAATCGAAAATTACCGTTTCCGTTTTCATCCCTAGTGAATATATAAAAATAATATTTAAAATAAAATAATTAAAGTTGATATGATGTAAAAATAGGAGAAAAATGATTGGAAGTGATAGTTAGTTAAAATTATGTGATGTGTAAGAATGATTGGTTTATATTATTTAATTATATTGATAATATTGGAGATTGTGGAGTTGGGTTAAAGTGGAGTTAAATTTAAGTTGTGATTGATTTTTTTTAGCTGAGATGATAAACAATCAGATTGATTTTTTTTAGCTGAGATGATAAACAATCAACCCCTAAGCGATTTACCATAGTCGACAGCTTATATATTACGTTCAACAAGCATATTGGGTGAAAATTCTTTATCTCCTAAGGATCGCCCACCTTCTGGACAAGCGCAATCAAAATCTTGTTTATCCCTTCTGACATAACACCCTGGTGTAAAATTTAGCGGACAAGATCACACACTAATGTGCCTACTCTTCCCATTGTTTCTGGAAAAAGATATTGTGTGAAACGTAGATATTTTACGATGAGTGCGCTCAACGTTGTTAGAACACAAATAAACAACTAGAATAGCGGAAGCAATAAACCGAAGATTTAAAAAACTCTTCAGGTAAGCCTCTCACTTCTCCTAAGAGCTCTTTCATTGATAACTCAATTGTGCACATGCGTATAGTTTTGGAATTACAGCAACTAGAACTCCCTTCTAGTCTAACCAACAACTATACTCGAATCTACCAACTACTTCTCCGGCCACGTCCCGTGGACTTTAAATAGCACTTAATCCCTAAGTGTTGATCACAATAATGTTTGAAAAACAAAGAAAAGAAAACAAAACGACTTCAGTTCTTCGATATGTAAGAACACTAAAAACTGAACTGAGAACTAAAATAAAAGAAGATTTGAAGCTCGAATAGTATGTGAATAATAATGATCTCAGCAGTCTTGATTCAATCTTCAACTAGGGTATATATACAACTCCTTAGGCTTGGAGTCTTCTCCAAGTTCTTTCCTTCTTTCACGATCTCCTTTGATCTTCTTCCCTCAAAAATAGTGTAGTAACATGGAGAGTAAATATTCCTTGATTGTATGTGATTTGGAGATCTTCAGAATTGAGTTTCCAATGGAAATCTTCGTGGTTCCAGACTCGTGTAAGAACACAACTTTCCTAAAATAGTCGATCTTCCAAATCTTCAAAGATCTTGTGATGAATCTTTCCAAATCCTCCTTAGATCTTCTAGATAACGTCCAGAATTCCTTATGCACGAATTGTTCATCCTTTCATAGTCCTTACCACCTATTTCTTGTCCTACAAAATAGAGAAAACTAATTATGGCATAGAATCAAGCTTATAATGCATGTGACATATATGGTAAGTAAATATATAAGATATATATTATGTAATCCTTATCCTAAAGGTTTAGGATTCCATAATACATATTATAATGAATATATAACGTATATTATTAATAAATAATAGGAACTTAATTAATTAACAAGTAAATAAATAGAAAATTTTCCTTTATTTTATTTTGCTTGCCTTACAAAAAAATCTTCTATAAAACACTTAGGTTTTTCGGATGATGTCAAACCAATATTCTTACATTGTGTAAGCCATCCAATCTCGGGGCCTTCAACGGCGGAATCTCTATAAGAGCTCCATGGATCTCGACAATCGAAATATGCCACATCCTCAAAGTATGTTTCGCAACACCAATCAGAGGAAACAAATTCGGTCATACCAGATACGACCTTTTGCAGTTTATCATCGGTATAAATTTCTAGAAGAAATTCGCGGCGATTAATTTTAATTGGTTTCTACAACTTTACCTTCTCCATCCCGTAAAAATATAATTTGGTTCCTCTTCCCTTGGGTTTCAACCCGACGGTGAAAAAATGTTGTATTTTGATCGCCAAATAAAGTTCAATCTCTCTAGGACTTTCGTATTAATAAAGACTTCTTCTAATTCACTCCTCAAACACAAGCTTTGAAGAGTAATAGTTTTGTAAGCATCGTTGTACTCCAACAAGCCAATCTTACAAGCTTTGAAGAGTAATAGTGTTGTAAACACTGTATTCCAATAAGCCTAGCCAACAACTCTTTCTTCCGCTTAAAAGATATTACCAAATATTGTACTGAAAATCAGCCTAGGCAGCCGCCTAGGCGGCCACATCCGATTTGCATTAATCAGTTGAAAAAAATTAGTTAGGTGGCGTCTAAGCGGGCTCGGTCGCAATTTTTTATTTTTTTTTTTATTTTTTTAAATATTAATTATATTATTTTATTATCATGTTCTCTTTCTAATATAATAATATTATTATTTGGACTTAGGTATGCGAATTTATTATAAGGGAATACTACCGTAAATGGTTCTGTTGTGTTTTAACCGTTGGATTAACTACCCATCACTAGATTACATGTATATCTATGGCTAGAAAACACAACGGAACCATCTAGTAACGAGATGGTAGCATTCTCCTTTATTATAAGTCAAGATAGTTTTATTTCGTACGTAGTGAAAAAATTTTCTAGGCCCCGCCATGTGTTCGTCGAGCACTTAGCGAACACTTGTGTAATTGGATATGGATTCGATTGGTTTTAATTGTTTTTTTGTTAATCATAGTCAACTTTGAAAAATGTGGTATGATTAGTTGTTAGTGAAAATTTAAATTTAAATTAAAATAAATTAATTAAACTTGATTTGATGTAAAAGTAGGAGAGAGATGATTTGAAGTGATAGTTAAATAAAATTTTATATGATTGGATGAATATTGAAATAAAGTTGATGTAATGTGTAAAAATGATTGATTGATATTATTTAGTTATATTGATAATATTGATGATAGTGGAGTTCAATTAAATTTAATTTTTTGATTAGTGTTTTTAGGTTGAATACACTCATGGCTTAACCTTTTTTTTTTTTAGTAAAATCATGTAGTTACTCCTGTTTTCAAGCTTTAACAAGCAAAACTAAAACTTAGGCAAAGTTGCATTAATTTTTGCATCTTAATCACAAATTTAGACCAACCTAAGTTTTTGGGCATAATCATCACCAATTTTTAACGACCTTTTAAAAAATTCTGTTGAGGCATTCATGCACTCGTATTATCACCTATCTTTTATACATGATTCTGCCGATCAAACAAACAGAAAAGCCATGAATCCATCATGACTCATGCCCAATGATCACAAATATCATGGCATTCCCTTGGGACAATTATTTTATCATAACTATTGTTTTCCCTAACAACCTCAGTACTTCAATAAGGTCAGAAAAGCTGTAAGATTATTGCCAGAATTGATCTAGAACTCGACACTAAACTCGGGCCGGTAATGAACCAGCCGGAGCATGAAACGATGTTCATACAGCTGTGAGCTTAAAGCACAGAGAAAACACCGCTTTCATGGTAGTGAACAACACCAAGTCTCAATTCTGTTGCAAAAAAAGCTTATTAACCCCTCAGAACAACTCGAATTCCAAATACTTGTTGTCACAGAACTCCGGCACCTGAGGCGGTGCCCCACACCGGATCAAAGCCCAGTTCAGCCCCTCGAAAAACGGGTGCTTCTTAATCTCAGCAGCCCCAGTTTCAGTCCCCAGCCTGTTCTCGGGCTCCTTCACCAGAAGCCCGCGGATCAGATCCCGGGCCTGGAAGCTCACCATCGGGCTTTCCGGGAACCTCAGGCCCTTCAACACCACATTTGCCAGAGTCTCCTCATTGCACGACCCCTTGAACGGCGTCCTTCCGTACAGAAGCTCGTACAGTAAAACCCCAAACGTCCACCAATCGACCGAACTCCCGTGCCCCTCGCCCTTGATGATCTCGGGAGCCAAGTACTCGTGGGTCCCCACGAATGAGTTGGACCGGGCCTTGTTGGGCTCGACCACGAGCTGAGGAAGGGAACGGGCCCGTGCGTGGGCTTCAGCCTGCAGCTTACGGGCCCGGGCAGCGCCGGGTAGAATTTTCGGGCCGAAGCAAGAGAGTTGGCACGAGGGCCCGGCGCAGAAGGGGTCGATGCAGTTGGAGCCCGCGCACGGGCCCGAGATGCGGGGTGGGTCGAGGGATGGACCGGTTGACCTGACGAGGGTTGGGTTGACCGAGCATTGTAGGGAGAGGTCGAAATCCGTGAGCATGATGTGGCCGTCTTCACGGACGAGGATGTTTTCGGGCTTGAGGTCTCGGTAGATTATGCCGAGCATGTGAAGGTACTCGAGGGCGAGAAGGACCTCGGCTACATAGAATCTGCCAGAACAACAAATTGTGAAACAAATGATTTAGAGAGATTTGGATGTATATTTTATGTTTTGAGGTACAAAAATCGAACAACAGAAATCGAGTGATAAAAAAAATGGCACGATTCCACGAAAAATGAAGACAAGAGGGAGTTTACAATCTTTCTTTTCAGGAAGAAAAGAAATGTAAGAAGCTTTTTTGGGATTGAAACTTTTCTTGATTTCTTTCTCCCTAATTATGTGAAAACATTAGGGAGTGATTCCTTAAATTAATCAACTTCTCTCCACAATTAGACAGGAATGGGAAACCAAAAGACGCGACAAATGAGAACCCAAACACAAATTTCAACATATTGCAGTTTGTACTAAGATATTTCCAGTTCCATTCGCGACATAATATAAATTTGATGGCCATTTACAACTCTCTAACGTCTAAGCAGAACACTCACCCTATAATCATAGATATGCTCCAAGACTGAAAATCACATCACAAATCTTTGTACTCACAATTTTGATTTCCTAACACTCATGCTAGTTGGCATATAAACTAAAAAAATAAGGGACAAAATGTAGTAAAGTTCAAACAATCCACCACGAAACATAAAGCATAAAGTTCAGAAAGTAATCCTCATTTTGTAAACCATACCTTGCAGCCTGTTCATGAAAATATCTCCCAGGCTGCTTCTGCCTGAGGACATGCAAATCTCCACCCGGACAGAACTCCATAACCAAGCACGATAAATTGTCTGAAGTAAATTGCGCATAAAGCGCAGGCAAAAAAGGGTGGTCGAGCATTCTAAGAATCTCCCTCTCTGTCTGAGCCCTCCCTGTCTTTTTCCTTTTCGCTAAGAATTCGTTATCCATAACTTTAATAGCAAAAATGCAGTTTGTGCTAATCAGCTCAGCCAAATACACAGTACCTATATCCCCCGAGCCAAGCTTTCTGAGCAGGTTAAAATGACTCAGCCCCAAGAAACCATCTTGCTTTCTTATTCGGTTAATTGATTCCCATTTCGTGTCCTTTAACATATGTGGCCTACAGCACGTGATCCCGTTTAGGCTGTTGTCTTCACTGACGCTTGTTGTGCTGCTGCTAAAATCGCCAATGCTGCTTTTCGAGCTTTGAGATAAATCCTTGGTGGGCTCTTTACTTGTGTTCTCCATAGAACACTGGCATTTTTGGCAGATTAACGGTGTGGGATTTTGGCTCGGGCTCTTGCTTTTTTCCTCGTGCGGTTTTTCTGGATTTTTACCGGTGGATATTGTTACTTTATTTGGTTTTTTTACAACGAGGGTCTTGTTTTTCACGACGGGTTTGACCGTGCGTGAAGTGGTTCGAGTTGACTTCGTATCTTTATTGCTTTTCGCTGAACTAGACGAGGGTGTACTCTGTAACATCGGTTTCCGTTTTACCTTAGGTGGCGCCTTGTTCACAGTTTTACTCGGGCCATTTACCTTATTCGACATGTTATTACTAGTATCTGTATCATTCACAGCTTTCGGCCTTTTTTTCTTCTCCTTATTATTCACTACAACTGCAGTCAAAGAACATGAACTCTGATTAGGCTCTTGAAAACCCGGACCATTTTCTCCTTCCACACGAGATACACATTCAAGACTCTGATTGGCCATAGCTAACCTTCCGGAAGAACTCGGAGCACTCTCAGCTCCGGGCCCACACAAGTTTGTCGATTTTCGAGCTTCCGAAACCCTAGGAGAAGCCGGCATTGATAGCCGCTTGACGGCAGCCATCTCTGCCGCCTGGGAAATGCACATTCCCCTCAGGGCTTGTTTTAGTGAGACGGGCTCGGAAAATCCAGGGCCCGGAGAATGAGAGCCCACGGGCTTGATGGGCTTCTTGGATGCGTTTTTGGGCCAGTCCACCGTGAGATTGAGGCTTTTGGAAGCCCGAAGATTGACGGACTCGAAAAGCTTGTTGATGTCTTCTCTTAAATATTTGCTGTACGGTTGTTTTACGAGGGGAGGCTTCTGCTCTCTGCTCGGCTCGTATTTCACCTCGACTATTTCGCAATTGCCGTTAGACGGCCCCATTAATGATGATTCCTTCTTGCTCTGTCGTTAGCAAACACGAGTTTAATGTACAGAAAGTTTCGATAATGCAGTATTAGATTTGTATTATATAATAAGTTTGCATCACAGTTCGACAGATCGAAATTTTTTATCTATCTTCCAAGGCTAAAAAAGGCCCACGAGATTGACTTAGTTTTGATCTTTAATAAGATTTAGCAATATGGCATACTCATTCCACAAGAAATGTAAGAGCATTTTTGCTTCTCTGAAATCCGGGGATAATATTGCTCATAAGGTCCAAATAAGCTGAACTAGAAACTGGGTAAGTAAGCAAATAACAGATTGTGCAAATCCCAGATTCTGTAAAAGTTGCAAGTATTTTTTGCATTTATCTATTGGATACAACATGAATAACACCAATTAATATTAATCTAATTAAACCTTATGAAACTTCTGATAATTGCAAAGAAGTTATAAACAAAAAAAGGCAACTAAAACGCAGATTTCCAGATTAAATGAGCACACATGAGAAAACAAAAAATTGTGACAAAATGCAGAAAATATGCATTTGAGAGGGGCAATCTTCATAACAAGATACTAAAAAGGAAAAAAAAAATGGAGAAAAAATGCAGGAAGTGACATAAAAAAAAAGTTCAGCAGAAACTCAGACAAGATGTAAGTTTCTGAAAAATAAAGGTTAGCACAAATGCTAAAACTTAAGTAGAACAGAAAAAAAATCAGCAAATAAAATGTGCTTAAAACTATGGTACCTGGTTTAGGGCTGCTTAGGCTGAAGAAAAATAACTTGCAAAATAACTATTCTCCTTTTTTCTCATTCAGAGACCTCCATTTCTTTCTTTGCTTCTCAAAATGATTCTTTCAAAAATAAAAAATAAAACCCTAAAATGAATATAGGGTTTTTTGTTTTTTCCTTTACTCTCTCAGCAGCTCAATTAGGTGGACAGTGATGGGAAGGAGATGACAAGAAAACTCTACCCTCCCACATCAAATGCTTGCTATATATTTATCTCTTTCAAGACTATATTTTTACTGTGGGGAAATTCCATACCCAATTTTTTTGAATTGTAAGGTTTGAATTTTATTTTTCTAAATTAAAGGCTTTCATTTTAAGTTACTCTTAATTTATGACTATTTTCATGTTTTATAGGATGCATTTTATTATGAAAATATACTATAAAGTTCTACCATCGTATTTTTCACAACTATTTTCTCTCCTTTATGTGCTTTTTCGTTACTAACTAAACACAAAAATGTCCAAAAGGATCCACTTAAACGGTGCTGATGAGCCCACGCTAATGTTCTTTGGATTCGGATTTGAATGAATTTAATTTTCATTCATTCATTTGCAGAGATCTGCACGACAGAAACAATTATTGTAAAACTTAAACAAAATAATAGACCGTAGTCTTCAACAATGAAGGAAAAGGACAAGTTTTGTTTTAGAATATAATGATATTGTTTATTAACTGAATTTATATAATGTGATTGTGCTGTAAATGGAATATTGAGCGGTTTGTGGAGGGTAGGCAAATCAAATTTTTTCGATTCGATTAATCGAATTCGGTATTCGTAATTCGTATTTCTAAAAATTTAAATTTAAATTCAAATAAGAATAAACTTTTTGTATTCGAAATTTATATGAATCTGAATTTGAATATGCACCTATTCAACCGAAATTATCTAATATTCTATTTTTTATTAATAATTATATTACATTTAATATATATCTAGACTATAAAATTGTGTTTATATAATGTAGATTAAATAAATAAAAAATAATAAAATATATTTATATATATAAATATGTGAAATATAATTAAAAATATATTTATGTACATATTTATATTTAAAAATACATATTATAGTTAAAATATAATTAAAAATATAAATAATTTATAAAAAAAGAATTTTAAATCAAATATATTTGATTATCACAATCAAATCCAATATGAATTACAAATTTAAAATTCCATAATAAACATAATACAAATAGAATACAAATACGAATAATTGAATATTTTTAAGAAGCTGAATCAAATTGTAGGATTACAATTTACAACCCTCGTTCTGCTGCACAATTTTCTGAACCCAAGATAAAATTAACATTGAGCATATCTATTAAGTTAATTGATCAATCACTTTGAATTTTTTTTTTTTTAATGCATGATGCATTACTATTTTCTCATTTTCCTTTCCAATGTATTAGTAAATCGCAGCCTATATATAATTATATATATGTCTTACTTTTGTCTGATCGGATAACATTTTATTTTATACAAACTATGAATGGGTAAAAATTTTATCCGAGAATATATCCATTTATTTTTTTCTTCCTCAATCTTATCAATAGATTTACAAAATAAAAATCAATCATTGTTATATATCTTCCACCAAATTTATTATTCATAATTTTGATTATCAATCATTTACCATCATTATTTTATTGTGTTTTAAATAACAAAAACTTTAATCATTATACTTTATGCTCATATTCATTTATAAACTAAAATAATTCATCCTTGCAACCAAAGAAAAAAATCTTTTCCAGTTTTCTCATTACTTTTATATGTTGTCTAATGTTGAGATATTTTTTTTCAACATTACATATGTACATTGGCACCCTAACTTTTGCATCAATATTTGTAATCTTGTACTCAATTGGCAAACTATTCAAATGCGCTAATTATTTTTTACTATTTCCTACACCAGATTAATTTTAATTTTATCTATTTTTTACATCAACTACCATTTTTCAATTTAATCCAGATTGGTAAAGTTAAACCGTAAAGTTACTGGAGATCACGTCCCAACGAAATTACGATTGAAGAATAATAAAAAAAAATCAACCTAACTTATGTATTCATAAACTAGAGATTATGCATGATGAAAGCCACGTCGGGTAAATAATGGATGCCATGATCCTAATACATCCCTAATTACCAACCAATTAGTTCATGGGTTATGACAAATTATACAGTTGAATATATATTTCCTTTTTATTAATGTCAAACTTTGAATATATAGTCAAAAATACCTTATATGCTATCCCACATTTGTTAACAAACAACACCATTACATAAACTCACAAAAAGGATATCTCATATGTAAACTGACAGTACATGTCACTTGTTATATCTAAACCAAAATATGAACAAAGTCAAATATATGTTCAATTTTGTTAAATAATGTATTGATGTGTGTTATAAAATAAATATATTTGTATTATGTGTCCATACATCAACTCATACATTTATGTATAACTCTTTCCCTTAAACAAAATTAAATAATCTATTATAATCCACATTAATTGAAAGTGGGAAATAACATCCTTGGAATTCGTGTATACTCCTGTAACAAGAAATTTTATGAAAAACATAAAACTTTTGTACAACTTGAATATATATTGATCAAACTATATTGCGGGTACAATCTCTATATGTATCTTCTGATTCTTCTCTTCATGGATCTTTAACTTGAATGTCGTGATCTTCAAGAACACATTTGGATATTCAAGAGAATTATTGAGAGCTCTTTGAATTGAGACTTTGATTTATGAGGTGTTGGATTTTTTTGAGGTATTTCAGGTGTGATTTGTGGCATTGAGGAGAGCCCTATTTATAGGTGTAGGAGAGAGAGTCTTAGAAAAGAAGACATCAATTTGATTGTTCCTTCATGATTTGATATAATCTCTTTCCTTATCCTAAGGTTTGACTTGGTGGGCAAGAAATATTTACTTTATTAATTAAATATCTTATTTATCTTAGAATTATGTCCATAAATAAATAAAGACATTAATTAATAAAATATTAAAATTTCGATGTCTACAAATGTCCCCTTGAGACTTGTTCACGGACAAAATGTCTTGGTAGTGAATGAGTCTCAAAATTTTAGATTTGGTTGAGACATGAAGATAGTTTAAACTCTTATCTAGGAGTTCTTCAACTTGGGTTTGTAGATAGTTTAAACTCGTATCAAGGAGTCTTGAAGTGATTTGACAGATAGTTTATACTCGTGTCAAGGAGTTCTTGATTTGGTTTAACAAATTATTTATACTCGTATCAAGGAGTTCTTCATTTGACTTGAATTGTAGATAGTTTAAACTCGTATCAATGAGTCTTGATTTGATTTGACAGATAGTTTATACTCATATCAAGGAGTCTTCAAATTTGTAGACATTTTATGCTCGTGTCAAAGAGATCTTGATATGTAGACATTTTATTCTCGTGTCAAGGAGCCTACAAATTTGTAGACATTTTATACTCGTGTCAAGGAGCCTTCGATATTTAACTTGTAGACCTTTTTATTCTCATGCCAAGGAGTCTTGATTTTGTAGAAAGTTTAAGCTCATATCAAGGAGCATTGTAGATAGTTTAAGCTCGTATCAAGGAGCATTTGAATTGGATATTTAGATAGTTTTGGCTCATATCAAAGAGCATTTGAATATGTAGATAGTTTAATCTCATATCAAGTAGCATTTGAATTTGAGGATTTGGTGGAGCTCTTCATGGAAAAAATTTCCCCCATGGAATTTGAGAAAAATATGGAAGACCACTTTTGTTTCCTCCATTCGGATGTGTGATGAACACGATGATTTTTGATGAATGCATGGCTTAGGAAAACATCATCATTCGTTGCTCCCGTGTACATTTTCTTCACAGAGATCTTCATGCATCTTAAAACATCTTCGAACTTGATTTGGAGAGAAGAGATGAGAGGTAGAGAATGTCCCACCGGACGTGCAAAAAATTTGTAACAACAAATTTTATTTGAGTCCCACTGGGCGTGATACTCCTGTAACAACTAATTTTATGAAAAACATAAAATTTTTGTACAACTTGAATATATATAGACCAAACGATATTGCGGGTACAATCTCTATATGTATCTTCTGATTCTTCTCTTAATGGATCTTTAACTTGAATGCCGTGATCTTCAAGAACACCTTTGGATCTTCAAGAGAATTATTGAGAGCTCTTTGAATTGCGATTTTGATTTATGAGGTGTTGGATTTTTTTGAGGTATTTCAGGTGTAATTTGTGGCATTGAGGAGAACTCTATTTATAGGTGTAGGATAGAGAGTCTTACAAAAGAAGACATCAATTTGATTGATCTTTCATGATTTGATATAAATTTTTTCCTTATCCTAAGGTTTGACTTGGTGGGCAAGAAATATTTACTTTATTAATTAAATATCTTATTTATCTTAGAATTATGTCCATAAATAAATAAAGACATTAACTAATAAAATATTAAAATTTCGATGTCTACAACTCCCTCCTATTTTTAATAAATGTCGTTTTGAAAAATTGCACAATAATTAAGAATTTTTTTTTTTGTCAATAATAACCCTCATTAATGAGGATAGAGATTGATGTTTTGAGAAAAGATGGAGAGTGAATATGAAAAGACGTAGTGTATTTATTAGTTAGATGAGGGTAATAATGGAAAAATATGTACAAAATAGCCAAAACGATATTTATTTAACAAATGATCAATTAAGCTAGGATGACAACTAATAAAAATAGGAGGGAGTATAATTTAATGATCAATGCAGTCAAGGCATAAAAGTCAATGTTGATCTGATTTTGTAAACGAAAAATAAAAAATCTATATATAATAGCCCTGTAATGTTTTGGGGCGGAAATCTAAAAAATATTTTATTAAATATTTTATTAAATGCTATTAGTCAGCAATTATATATATAATAGTAATCAACCTGTGCATTTGCACAGAGACGAATACTTTAAAAAGATAAAAATATAAAAAAAAAACAAAAATAAATCATAAATTAATTCATGAAAAAATAATATGAATTAAGAAAATAATTCTCAAAATTGATTTTGATCAAGTAATTGTTATGGAAGAGCCGTTACAACCATTTTCTTTATGCTAATACACCCGACCATTTTCATGAGTGGATGTAACTTAAAATTTGAGTACAATTTTGTAACTCCCTT